TAGTCGGGCATTCAAAATCGGACTTGCTTGAAATCAATGGATGTGAATTAATAAATCACAATATTCGTAATTATTGAATATCAAGACATGGAGAGAGGTCAACCCAGGCTGTTCCTTAATCCTATTGAAATGAAATATTGTTTAATCAAAACATCAAAAATGGGAGGATTGTTTGGATTTTTTTCACAAATTTGCAAAATGTCATTCAAATATTCAAATCCTTAATAAAAATCTGCTTGAATTGGAATGTTCTTCACCAATTCAATACGATGTCAAAATTGACCCCAGACTGTGACCTGCCCTTTAAAATATTTTGCTATGCTTTATTATCATATATTATTATTGATCAATATTTAGGCCGTTATAAATTCACAGTCGCCGTAAGGGTCATTTCAATGTCAACTCGACCACAAAAAAGAAGTGTGTGATATATTCGGACAGTGCTCAGCCATTGATCTATAAAGACGCTTTGTTCACTATGGGAAATAATGAATATCACGCCCAAGTAAAACTTTACCCTGAAATAAATCTCTTCACGCTTTCATATGATTTTAATTGTCTCTTATGATGCTCACCTCCTGGCCGAATCAAAGAAGCGATTATATTTACATGTATATCCCCAGGGTAACTCTATATATAGCAACAAATCTACTTAAAATAAGATGTTATTTTTGTTCCGTTTAATCGGTTGGTCGTAATATAGGTTCATGAAAAACGCATTTTAAGACTGTGACGACAATAAGAATACCCGTATACAGTGTCTCGATAATCAACGTACTTCAAAAGATTTCGCGGAATTTTCTGTATCGCAGGTTTTAATTGGTGGGTTGATCTGGAGTCGACCAATCATACTCTGCAAATTACTAAAAGCTCTCTTTAAGCCATGATGAAATGGGGTAAACAACCGAAAAGTAAAATGGAATAATGCAATGGTATAATCTTATTTAGACTACCCAAAATTATGCGGGAAGGGAAGACAAAATGTGCTAAAACGAAATTAACGTTATGTAGAGCCGGGTCAATGTTGGTGCTGGTTGCTTTACAGTGACATGCACCCAATAAAACTAGAACACGATGCTCTATCTCTATCTTTATAATATAATTACAGATATTTCTTTTTTAGATTGTGCCAACATTTAAACATCATGTCCATCTGTGACTTTAGTTCTAAAAGAAGATCTGAAACAATATGGGCCTTTAATAATATATAATAACAAAATATTCACGTGTGGGTTATATTTCTAAATAATAAATTGGTTTGCACCTATTATCGATTCAGCTTGATTAGTCATTTATTGCCACGTATCAATAGATTTTTGTCTCGAAAATAGAAACCATCGACCTCAGAAACTACAGATTGTTGGCTTTGAAGACACGTGAAGCCATGTTTAGAAACAAAACAGGAACATTGATTTATATTATATCCATTACAGGATATTTTAAAGGTACGATACACGACAATCTCTGGTTTCCAGCCAGTTGTTACCGGAGATACGGTCCAGAACAAAACATCTTGCATGTTTATAATCTGGCTGTTGTAATTTCATTTTCCCCGAATTCAAGACGAATTTTAACCAAAGTTTTAACGGAGAAAATCTCGTTTTTGCCGAGGATTTAGTTAACGAGACGGGTTATGCTCTTTTTTCCCGCTTTATCTATATTGGAGCATGATTTTATGAATATGAACCAAACTCGTGGAGAACTCTGCTTTTGGCGGTCGAAAAATTCTGAATTTCGACAGGATTCTTCCAAATGAGCAAACAATTCTAACAAGAAGTTAGAAGATTTTCCTGTATTTCGTTCACAAGCTTCGAAGGTCAGAATATGACTAGAAAGTTTGACAATTCGTCCTTTTACCAGAAAGGACAATTCCACCAAGCTTTACAAAATTCTATCAAGAATTTTTTCCTGAATTCAGAAAGGGTTCATTATAATGCACAATAGAACAAAAGTGCAAATTTGAAAAAAAATCTACAGAGTGTTCACAAGGAATTTATGCACGGAGGAACGGCGGAGGTGTCGACACATTTTAATATAAAAGCATTCCATCGGCGAAGTTTCATTGAAAATTAAGACCTTATGAATACAATTAAATGGATGTAGTTCCAAACGGCGATCTATTGTCACACTTCAGGAGAAGATGTTTAGTATAATGGCTACCTGTGGATATGATCAATAACCAATTTATTTGAAGTGTCTGTACCACCGGCTTTATTTGTTTATTGGATGAGCTAGGTCTACTTCTGCTTAATAGGCAATAATAATACTTCAAGAATTGATACCATGTACTAAGATGAACTCTTATATTATCCAAATATTTTGATTTGGTTGGTTTTCTTCCCAGGAGTTTTTATGTGATCCGCTGATTTGCTGCTACACATGTTATCTTCTGAACGTAGCTTCAGTCACTTGTGCACCGTGGCGTGCAGAGGGTTAGTGATGCCCGGGGCAAACTTATTGATTGTATGCCCCCAAGTATCAAGTAAAATGCCTAGTACTTAGAAGTGTGAGAAAAGGAAGGCATTTTAAATATGTCAAAAACAGAAAAAATAAAAATGTATTCAAATAAAGTAGGGTTGCTTGCACAATACAGTTAACAGCGATATTTTCAAATTTCAAAATATTTAATTTAATTTTACTCCTGAAATGGATGCACATGGCAGTCGCTCCCTCTGCCCCAACTCTCTAAACATACACGCCACTGCCTTTACACTACCATGATGACGCTTTCTAAGAGTATTTCTTATAGAATTGGACAGTTTTATTTTGAATGAAGAATATCCAAGGGTGTCCCTTGCAAATTGGAATCAAAATTCTAGAATTAAATAAATGTAACATTAATTTCATTTTTCAATTAATGTTTCTTATCTCTTCTTGTTTTATAGGGAAAATCTGTCATACAGCAGCAATACAAGTTTAAGTACTTTTGGCTGTGTATTGTTCATTTACTTAACAAGTTTAGTATATTACTATAAGACATCTGAGGCGTGTTTCTACATTGGCTTTTGATATATGAATATCCCTCTCCAGCACCCTAGCATTTTCCTTCAACGTAATTCGGATGGGACGAAAAACCAAGGTCCCGTGTACATATGGGCGTGCTCGTAAAAGATCCCTTGGCAGTTGGAATTCGATATAAGAGTAGGCCGTAGTGCTGCTGTACGGGCAAAATTCCCCCCATAGCACACTGTATGGCGTATGCCCGTCTTCATTAGCCCAGTCGGGGCAGAACAGTAGGACGTTAAACCCCATTTCGTTTCATTTCATTTCCTTCTACGTAAGTCACGCAATCGACAACTCTACAAGTTTACAAAGATAATGACCAATGAAAATCGAAATTAGAAAAGGGTCCCAAATTTTATAATGATAATGGCCAATGAAAATCGACATTCGATAGCGTTATATTCATTGTGACGTCACAATTAGTATGACGTCACAACTTATTGTCTCGTCCAATATGGAACCAGTATAATCTATATTATTACGATATTATCACTTAAAACAGATTTATTTTAGAGAAAAAAACATCGAAAATATTTAAAATACCGAGCCTGGACATCAGGTAAGTAATATAAACTATAGTTAAGTTTTCTACAAAACTGTATCATTTATTATACGGTAAAAGAAAGTTAATAATGCAAAGAAAATGAAAGCCGGTCGTTGTCATGGCGCTAATTGTTCCGTGGCCAAAGATTTTCTTAATATCGTCTTAGCTTTTTCAAAAGCGACAATACAACACTTTTCAGTGCAGAATGTGTGGATTATCGCGCTTTCTTATCTTCGTCTTTTATTTGCGTTTTCAAATCCAACGCGAAAATATGGCGGAGTAATTCAAAAACATGAAACACAAAGACAAATGTAAGGGAATATGAAATGAAATAACTTGACACTTTCACTTTATAATGAGCCACTGGATTTAACAAATTAAGATGTAGGTCTTTACAAAAAGGATAGCGGATCCAGTGACAAGGAGTAAGGTCGCCTGTCCCGCCTCGTGGGATTTCTTCAGGCCGCTCTGTTCCCTCCGACTGCTAAAGACCCTACGCGCAAGCAAATTATTTAAACAAAATTGAAACATATGATAGTATGTTTTTATGTATATAAAATCACAGTTTTTGTGTTTTGTCAAAATGATCTCTTGTTAACCCAGATGCACACCAATATGACGCTACAGACCATGTGTTTCTCAAAAATTTTCATAATGTGGCACTGAACATTCAGTGGGAATATTCAGTGGCAGCTGAAGTCTATAATATGTTCTCAATATTATGTAAGCACTCGGTCAAGATGTATATTTGACACTAACTATCAAACGCCTTTCTGTCTTAAATATCCGGCATCATCCTCGGCTTGTGAGGAACCTCAAATAAATGAAATACTGTAGGTCTTCCCTTCATCGGCACTGGGCACAATATGACTAAAAAGTTAGATTAAAACGTTCGGAGATAGGTGAAAATCTCTATTATATTTACTTTATATCCCAGTAAGTCCAAATAAATGTTTTACAACACACTAAGGGCAACAGACAGATTATCCCTTTAGTCTGATCAATTTCTGTACATGTTTAAAATTACATTCGGCATCCACTGCATATATAAAAGGCATGGTTACCTATGATTTTCACTGAAATCTTTTGATGAGCCTCTTTAAAATCCTAGTAAATCCATTCCGCAAGATTATCTACCGTTGATGTTTTAATTTCGAATTTGTTTTCTTAGTTAAATGTTTAAAAAAAAATCCATTTTAGCGCGGGTAAGACGACAAAAAATTCAATATTGACGATCAGTGACTTTAATATGTGAGAGAGAGAGAGAAATGGGGTTTAACGTCCACTCGACACAAACTAGGTCATTCGGGACTAACATATGGTTTAATTTTTATTTCAATAATTCGCTTGCGCGTAGGGGTTTTTAGCAGTGGGAGATAACCGGAGGACCCGGAGAAAACCCACGAGGTTGGACGACTTTAATATGTAAATATGACTTTCATTTGCAGTTATAATGAAGTTCGGGGAAACGCCTTTGTCCTTTGGGGACTCGCCAACAGAAAGTAAACAAAGTGAAGACAGAGAAATAGAAGATCGAGATAGAGAAGACAGAGAAATAGAAGACCTAGATGTAGAAGGTACAGAAATACAAGATCGAGATAGAGAAGGTACAGAAGATATAAACACAGGAGATAATGAATTAAAAGATGAAGAAACAGAAGATATAAAAACTGCAGAAGATGTAAAAACTACAGAAGAAATAAAGACAGAAGATTTAAAAGCAGAAACAGGAAATATAAAAACGGAAACAGGGGATATAAAAACCCAAGATATAAAAACCGAAACAGAAGAAGATATGAAAACAGAAACACAAGATATAAAAACTGCAGAAGATATAAAAACTGAAGATATAAAATCCGAAGAATTAAATGCAGAAACAGGAGAAATAAAAACCGAATCAGAAGATATAAAAACCGAAGATATAAAAACTGCAGGAGATATAAAAACAAACGATTTAAAAACAGAAACAGAAGATATTCAAACTGAAGACAAAGAAACAAAAAGAGAAAATATAAAAGCTACAGAAGATATAAAAACAGTAACAGAAGATATAAAAACAGTAACAGAAGATACAAAAACTGAAGAAGATCTAAAAAAAGAAGACATGAAAACAGAAACAGAAGATATAAAAACCGAAGAAGACACAAAAACAGAAGATGTAAAAACAAAAACAGAAGATATAAAAACAAAAACAGAAGACATAAAAACAGAAGATGTAAAAACAAAAATAGAAGATATAAAAACAGAAACAGAAGATATAAAAACAGAAGACATAGAAACGAAAACAGAAGATATAAAAGCTGCAGAGGATATAAAAACAGTAAGAGAAGATATAAAAACTGAAGAAAACAGAAGATGTGAAAACAGAAACCGAAGATATAAAAACTGACGCAGTAGATAATGAATCAAAAGATGAAGAAACAGAAGATATAAAAACCGAAGAAGACACAAAAACAGAAGATTTAAAAACAGAAACAGAAGATGTAAAAACAGAAACAGAAGATATCAAAACAGATATAAAAACAGAAACAGAAGATATCAAAACAGATATAAAAACAGTAACAGAAGATATCAAAACAGTAACAGAAGATATAAAAACAGAAGATTTAAAAACAAAAACAGAAGATGTAAAAACAGAAACAGAAAATATAAAAACAGAAACCGAAGATATAAAAACTGATGATATAAAAACAGAGGATATAAAAACAGAATATTTAAAAACAGAAACAGAAGGAGATATAAAAACCGAATCAGAAGATATAAAAACCGAAGATATAAAAACTGCAGGAGATACTAAAACTGCAGAAGATTTAAAATCAGAAACAGAAGATATAAAAACTGAAGACATAGAAACGAAAAGAAATGATATAAAAACTCAAGATATAAAAACAGAAGATATAAAATCAGAAACAGAAGACACACATATAAAAACAGAAACAGAAGAAATAAAATCTCAAGATATAAAAACCGAAGATATAAAAACAGAAACAGAAGAAATAAAATCTCAAGATATAAAAACCGAAGATATAAAAACAGAAGATAAAGAAGGTAAGAAAACAAGGCATTAATTCTTCTCGCCTGAACTATTTGTTCAATGTTTTTAATGAGAAGTTATTGACCTTACAATAAAATCTGAAGAGATATCGCTGCCCTTCCGAGATTCACCAATGTAATAATTGAAAATACCAGATGACTAGACTATCTATATTAGTTTCACACAAATATGAACTGTACTTTGATCCAGTCACACCTATATAACAAAAAGATTAAAACGCATTTTAATGTCTAAATAAATGAAATCGGTTTTCATGTCTCGTCAACACTTTATCTGGATCATAAGGAGACTGACATACTGTTAATTTTATTTTTATGTGGTTACTTTTTGCCTTATCTGCGCGACTATGCATCACCTCGGAAAAACTCCTTAATCTTACATAATCAAGAAATTCTTAATATAAAGGCTAAGTATGAGAGAATCCCATACTATTCCATATAGAACGGTCCCACCATGTTTTTGTTTGAATACTAACTAATAATAATAATCCAAAGAGAAATTATTACATGTCATGGTTTTATTATTATTTCAGACGTCGAAACAGCAACATGTCCCGAAGACCTCGAGAATGGATTGGAGCCAGGATACTTTAAAAGAGGAGGGAGAGCATTTTGCCTGAAACATGGCAAGATATTTGAAGTACACAGGAAAAGCGCACGAAACCAGACAAACAGAAAATTTGTATTATTAGGTGTCATTCCTGGCGGCTGCAAATCAACAAAAAAAAATCAAAAGAAAAGTAAGTAACCATACGTAGATACGGGTATCATGTACGGCGGAGGGGTCAGAGTGGGTATATTCCAAGGGCCGGTGGTCTGTACCAAATGGACACTCACCTTGTAGAAAGATTCTAGCAGCACTGCTTTATATATATATTTGATATATATTAGTCCTATTGGATATATTTATGTAATTAGTATCCCCTTCGATATGTAAACATACTTACGTGTACCAATTGACACCCACTTTGCAGACAGATAGTAGAAGCACTGCCTTTATATAGTATAAACATATTAGTATTACCTTTTTGTTTACTATCATTATTTAGTTAAAAATGATAAGAGAGAACGTGTCAAAACGGTGCTCCGTGTGTTTAATGTACCATTTCTTTTTTTTTATTTGTTCAATTGCCAAATGACACTCAAGATCGAACCAATTGTCATGATCTTCGTACGGTGGTTCAGTGAGTAAGGCATTGGCTAAATAACCATGTGGTCCGGTGTTGGCCGAGGAAGATTTCCTGGACTTCCCGGTGTTGTTTTTCCTTGTCTGTGGTGCAGGGAACCTGGCATGAAACTCCGTCTAGGTCCAAAAGCCGAGTTCCTGTGTACACGTTTGCGGGCACTAAAATAATCCAGTTACAGTTCTTGCAAATATCCCTCACAGCGCGCTGTATGGGGGAGGCCCGTCTTCATTAGTCCGGTTGGTCCAGAAAAGTAAGACGTTGAACCCCACACCATTCATTCGATTAATTCACCATTTTAAAGGGGGAATAGTTTAAACTTATAGATTATGGAAGTTGTTGTACATGTACTTGCAGCAACGAAACCTACAGTCTATGACTTTAATACACTAAAATATTCATTAATTGACTTTCCATACTCAATTCCAACTATATATAGAATTTGATTTTTAACCACCTGTTTTGATCTGCATACCTATTTTATCCCTTATCTTTATTCTAATTTTACAGTCAACCCATATGTTCTGATGGAACTGTATAGAACTTTGCCACCAGAGAATATCAAACCCTATTTGTTGGTAAGACCAGAGGTCAGAATAAAGATACACACTGACACAGTTCGTACAAATATGTTTGGACCACATCCGAAAATAAAAAATGTACCTGCACCAAAGTATAAAGAAGAAAAAAATATAGAAACAGAAAATACAGAAGTTAAATGTATAGATACAGAAAATACAGAAGTTAAATATATAGACACAGAAAATACAGAAGTTAAATATATAGATACAGAAAATACAGAAGTAAAATATATAGATACAGAAAATACAGAAGTTAAATATATAGACACAGAAAATACAGAAGTTAAATATATAGACACAGAAAATACAGAAGTTAAATATATAGATACAGAAAATACAGAAGTAAAATATATAGATACAGAAAATACAGAAGTTAAATATATAGACACAGAAAATACAGAAGTTAAATACATAGATACAGAAAATACAGAAGTTAAATATATAGATACAGAAAATACAGAAGTTAAATATATAGACACAGAAAATACAGAAGTAAAATGTGTAGATACAGAAAATACAGAAGTTAAATATATAGACATTGAAAACACAGAAGTTAAATATTTAGAAACAGAAAATACAGAAGTTAAATATATAGATACAGAAAGTACAGAAGTAAAATGTATAGAAACAGAAAATACAGAAGTAAAATACATAGATACAGAAACTACAGAAGTTAAATATATAGACACAGAAACTACAGAAGTTAAATATGTAGATACAGAAAATACAGAAGTCAAATATATAGATACAGAAAATACAGAAGTCAAATACATAGATACAGAAAATACAGAAGTTAAATATATAGATTCAGAAAATACAGAAGTTAAATATATAGATACAGAAAATACAGAAGTTAAATATATAGATATAGAAAATACAGAAGTTAAATACATAGATACAGAAAATACAGAAGTTAAATATATAGATACAGAAAATACAGAAGTTAAATATATAGATATAGAAAATACAGAAGTTAAATACATAGATACAGAAAATACAGAAGTTAAATATATAGATACAGAAAATACAGAAGTTAAATATATAGACACAGAAAATACAGAAGTTAAATATATAGATACAGAAAATACAGGAGTTAAATATATAGACACAGAAAATACAGAAGTAAAATACATAGATACAGAAAATACAGGAGTTAAATATATAGATACAGAAAATACAGAAGTAAAATACATAGTTCCAGAAAATACAGAAGTTAAATATATAGATACAGAAAATACAGAAGTTAAATATATAGATACAGAAAATACAGAAGTTAAATATATAGACACAGAAAATACAGAAGTTAAATATATAGATACAGAAAATACAGGAGTTAAATATATAGACACAGAAAATACAGAAGTAAAATACATAGATACAGAAAATGCAGGAGTTAAATATATAGATACAGAAAATACAGAAGTAAAATACATAGATACAAACAATACAGAAGTAAAAGATACAGAAACAGAAAATACAGAATTGAAATGTATGAAAACAGAAAATACAGAAACAGAGTATAAAGACGTAATATATGTAGAAACAGAAAATACAGAAGTAAAAGATGTAGAAACAGAATGTCAAGAAGTAAAAGATGTAGAAACAGAATGTCAAGAAGTAAAAGATGTAGAAACAGAATGTCAAGAAGTAAAAGATGTAGAAACAAAATGTCAAGAAGTAGATCACATAGAGACAGTGTATAAAGAAGTTAAAGATGTAGAAACAGAATGTCAAGAAGTAGATGATGTAGAAACAGAGTATAAAGAAGTAGCTGATGTAGAAACAGAATATACAGAAGAAAAAGATGTAGAAACAGGGTATAATGAATTAAAAGATATAGAAACAGAGTATAAAGAAGAAAAAGATGTAGAAACGGAATATAATGAAGTAAAAGATATAGAAACGGAATATAAAGGAGACAACAACAGTGAAACGAAACATCAAGAAACACAAATAAATGAACTTAGAGAAAAGGTGATTACTGTTGCAGGAGAAAGAGATGTGATGGAAATAAAAACACAAACCAAAGAAATGGAAGATAGGGGAATAGATAAGAGGGATACAGAAGGAACGGAAATAGTAATGGAATTAGAGGAAGGAAGGAATTATGGAGCAAAAACAGTAGAAGGGAAAAAAGAGAAAAACAAAAGCAAGTTCAGTAAATTTTTCATTAGAGTGGGAAAACGGTTTAGAAAATTGTGTACTTGTGGCTGTGTTAAAAGGGGGAAGGGGGCAGGGGGGAAAAGTAAAGAAAAAATTAATTTTTTTAAAGATAAAGATACAGAGGAAGCTGTAGAAAGAGACTGAATAGAGTATTGACTCTAAATGTACATAAAACAAATTTGTAAATATATGTATTTATTACTGTTTTTTAAATAAATTATAAATATTCTATTTGTGTTGATATATTTGTCATAGATTTTATGGTCAGTCAATAAGGGTATATTTTTAAAATATAATTTCACTTATTAACAGGGGATATTTACGAGTAACTTATTATTAACAATCCCGCAGATCGGGCTTCAACCATAGACAACGAGTCGGAGTCGAGTCCTAAGTCGCCGCACCTGGAGTCGGGGTCGAGTCCCAAGTCGCTGACTTTTGTACGCTTACTCAGCTACATTACAAAATTGTAAAACAACACTTTTATGAGAAAAGTGTCACCGTCGTGTGTTTTATCCTTTATTATCAGATGGTGGGGTGGGATGAGCATTCAAAGCGCAAGATAGCGATATAGACAAGTGTGATATCACAATTAATGCTTTGTATCAATGAAATTGAATTACAATGTGACCCTATTAATCTATTAATCATGATAAAATTGACGTCAAACGGGGTGTTGGATTTCTCGCTTTAAAAAGCTCAGCGTGTATGTATGCCTACGTAATTTGGAGACGATGATGGTATAATGCGGTATGCTGGGGAGGTAGTGCACCAGAAGAATCACTAATTTACTAAAGTTCCGCCCCTATAGATCAAGTTTCAACTAGATGTATGGTTGGATGGCCGAATGGTTAGCGTGTGCGCGTTGAATCATAAGGTCTTTCATTGAGTCAACTGGCATGGTTTCGATTCCCCGGTTTAACGTGACAAGGAGTAAGGTCGCTTGTCCAACCTGGTGGGTTTTCTCCGGGTCCTCCGCGGGGTTGGATGACCGAATGTGCGCGCTGTATCATAAGGTCTGTCATTGAGTTATCTGGCGTGGTTTCGATTCCCCGGTTGTACGTGACAATGAGTATGATCGCCTGTTCAACCTCGTGGGTTTTCTCCGGGTCCTCCGGTTTCCTCCCACTGCTAATAACCTATTATGTCATTAAAATATGCTTAGAATTTTCGCCATCTCGTAATATCTATCATACCGCCCCGTTTTGATTAGTTTCGAAAATAAAAACTTGCAGAGGTCTAAAGTGGTTAGTGTCAAAATAATATACGTTTTACTTCTTGGATAGGTACAATTAATTACCAGAAAACTACTAGTGTGACACCGTCTTCATTAGCCCTGTCAGATCAGAACAATAGGACATTAGACGCTATTTCATTATGACATTATGATATATTATAATATTATAACTGTAAAACGTTAAAAATAGTATATGTGATCTATGTAAAATAATACATTGAAAATAAAATGTTATATTATCATAAAGTAATTGATATATGTAAAAAAAAAAACTCCAACAAATAGCATGAAATGAAGAAAATCGTGATCTAGTTTAGCTATTAAAAGAAAAGAAAGACGGAAATAAGGAAATAAGTCATTATATTGATCCTAATATCAATATTTTATTGTTTGTTTTAACGTAAAATATGTAATTTACGTGAATATAATTTAGTACATACTAGCATTTCAGGTGTAAAGAGTTTAACTCGCAAGAAGAAAAAAAGAGAGAGCAATATTAAACATAATTTCTAGAAAGACGGAAATAAGGAAATAACGTCAGCATATTGATCCTAAAATCGAATTTTTTTAGTGTGTTGTAAAATGCGTAATTTACATGAATATAAATTATACTTGGGTTACAGTGTACATACTAGTATTGGGTGTAAAGCGTTTAACTGGCAAGAAAGAGAAAGCTATATACGTGTATATATATACATACTTTCTAGATTGATCAAACGATAATCTTTTCCCTTTTTAGGGGGCTTTGGGTATTGAAATCACAAGGTCTGTCATTGAGTCAAGGTGGCGTGGTTTCGATTCTCCGCTTGAAAGTGACAAGGGGTAGGGTCGCCTTTCGAACCTCGTGGGTTTAAGCCGGGGCCCTCGGTTTCCTCCCACTGCTAAAGACCCCTATGCGCAAGTGAATTATTGAAATAAAATCAAACCATTTGATAGTCCAGATATGACATAGTTTACGTCGAGTGGATATCAAACCCCATTTCTCTATCCCCTGCCCACCCCTTTTTCAAGGAATTGGGTCCAGCACTAATACCAAGATAAGAATAAGCAAACAACAACAACAATAGAAAAAAAACCAAGCGAATGCGCCTAGAACCTCCCCTCCCATACCCTTTGCGGTGGGTGCAGTGAACGCAACATATATACACACCTTAAAATGTGTCAATCTGGTTGAATGATGGTAATACATTTGGGAAGATAACATTGATGTTCAGTTAGTTGGAAACTGAGTTAGTGTCCCAAATGTTCATTTTACTAGACTGGATTATGTGAGCTATATGCATAAATAGTCAGCAAATGATCGGCTCACCAGATTACAATAGAAAAATTAAAATATACATGCAGATATCGTTAATGTTCGAACTTATGGAAGAGACAGGCCTGTTTATTAGTTACACTGAACAGGGAGAATAACAATACAAACATACCTTGTACAAATATATTTGGACCCCATTCGAACGTAAAGATTGTACCTGCACAAGAAATGGAAAGCAAAGCAGAATTAACATACACCGAATGCTGAGAAGATGGAGAAACAATGGATAAACAACCAACCAGAAGATAGAGAAGCAGAGGAACAGGTGATAGAAATACAGAAGCAGCAGATAGAGAACCAGGAAAACAGATGATAGAGATACAGAAGCAGCAGATAGAGAACCAGCGGAACGGGTGATAGAGATACAGAAGCAGCAGATAGACAACCAAAGGAACGGGTGATAGAGATACAGAAGCAGTAGAAGAAAAACGGAAGAGAAACAAACGGGCATTAGAGGAACAGGAGTTTGAGAAACGGGAAAAGAAGATGCAGTACATTAATGTTCTATAAATAAATTATAAATATTCTACAGATAGAGAACCAGAGGAACGGGTGATAGAGATACAGAAGCAGAAGATAGAGAACCAAAGGAACGGGCGATAGAGATACAGAAGCAGCAGATAAAGAACCAGAAGAAAAACGAAAGAAAACAAACGGGAATTAGAGAAACAGGAATTAGAGAAACATGAAAAGAAGGTGCAGTATTTTAACTTTGAATGTACATAAACATTTATTTTTTGTAATAAATACATTAACGTTCTATAAATAAATTATAAATATTCTACTTGTGTGATCTATGTGTCGTGGATATTATTTGTACCCACGGTTGTTTTGTGGTCAGTCAATCAGAGATATATTTCTAGATAACTAAAAATTTAGACATTAAGCGGGGGCTATTTACAAGTAACTAATACCAATCTCTTCTGTAGATCAGGTTTCATCTATAGAAGTAAGAACATACCAAACTGTAGCCCATATCTAACAATCATAAAATAATGAAAATCTTCTGTCCAATTGAAATTAAGCCCCCAGTTCTATAGTTAACTAATTCAAAAATGCGGGCACTGCTACAATTGAACTGTAATCCTAATAAGGAAATGTCTTTGATTCTTGATCAAATCGCTGATTGATTAGCGATCGGGTCAAACGTATCCGTTTCATCGAATCACAGAAAAAAAAACCCGATAAATTATTCACGTTATCAGTAATCATATTATATAAATTAGTTTAAAGCGCAGCACCATGCTAATTTGTTTATACGTTTTTCCAACAATGCATCTTGTGATGCCAGCAACACCAATTATATGGTTTAATTCCTAGCTGTGATACCATACTATGGAAGAAATACTACTTATGGTAAAGATTGCAGGAAAGACCACGGCACCTATCCGCTTCCGATCGCAAATGGAATGAAAGGTGTTCTATTTTGTTATATTCAGACCTACTGGTATGTATTTATATGTATATGGGGTGTAAATGGTATGTATTTATATGTGCAATAAGGGGTGTATAGTGTAGTGGGCTTGCAGAGGGTGTGCGGTGGAATTGAAGGGGTGGAGGTGGAACAGTGGCGGGATCTTTCGTTATATATATCATTTTGAACCTTGTAACTAGGCCTATTCCTGTCAGCCCCACATGCGTTTTACCTGACAAGTGTTACCCGAAGTTATTTTCTCGGGTTGGGTGGCTGGGCGGGGTTGTGGGACGTGGGGGGGGGGCACTGAGTAAGACGGTGGCTCGCTATCCTGGGGTTACCGTATTCGATCCCTCCATCGGCGCCGAAAGTTCATCAGGATTTTCAGACGTGGTTCCTCCTTGTGAGTAGTATAGGACCGAAGGCCTGGCAAGGGACAACGTATAGTCGTTCGGATGGGACAAAAGAGTGGCTCCCGTGTACCCATTGGCGTACACGTAAAACATCCCTTGGTAGTTAGAATTCGATGCAAGAGTAGGCCGTACCGCCGCTATCCGGGCAAAATTTCCCTCATAGCACACTGTATAGTGTATGCCCGTCTTCATTAGCCGAGTCGTAACAGAACCGTGGGACACTAAATCCCATTTCATTTATTTTCTCGGCCTACGGTTTTGATCCCAAGGCACGGTTATTGGACAATGCTTTGTACCTATATATACATAACCCTATTTCTAAGCCCATGGTATATATAAGGTATACGATTATGAAGCCTAAGGACAGAGCGTATTTTAGGAAGTGTTCGTGAAACAAACGGAATATATCCCCTCCCATCACATTAAAGGCTTACTGTTACATACACTTTTGAATATTAATGGAGGGAAGAGAACATTAAATCACCTGATAGACTGGAATAACAAGACGCGTTGATTGGATGAATGCTCAGGTTATATGTTAACTAGATATTAAATCTGTATTGGTCAATTTAACACGAGGAATTTTAAGACAAGACTTAGTGTTATCGCTTGATTACCCAACCGTACAAATAGTTTCTGTTTAATCAATATAGATTACTTTATAACCTCATTCACATTCATCGTATACTAAACACGCATAGTAAATACAGGTAAATACATGTCCAGTTACAATTACAAATATACATCTACCTAAAAATACTACACTTGATACCCTGGTATCTCAAATTTGCATTTGATACCCTTGAGTTTTTGCGCCCCCTCGCAAATGGCAAAAAATGCGCTGTTTTAATGCGGTTGGTTTTCAACATTGTAATCATAATTATAATGCTTAACCAGTATCAAACATAAACCGAGGGTCAGATATGCTGATAAATCTTCACAATATTCATCTGGAAAAACTTGACAATGAGAAGGTCCGTGGACTCGCACTAAGTTATATGGGCCTGCTATGCTTAAATTACCCCCCCCCCGGTTTCTTACCAGGCGTGAATACAGCATGTGGATTTGTATGCGGAAATATAACTTTGGGTCTATAACCTTTCGTTAAGTTCTATTGATGACGGCGTACCACCCACCGTTACAGAATCTAAAAGTCAAATTAACGACTTGATTTTCTGAGCTGTAGACTAACGAGGGGCAACTCACTTAAATCGACTGCACCTGACCTGCACAATACAACATTATAATTGTCCTATTATCCCAGCTTTAAAACGCCAGTTGAATAGATCAAATGATTATCTCACGGATTACAATATACCGATCATATATTATATCATATACCATTGTTGCTCCTAATCTAATGCTGTGTCTTACCTGTACACAATATCTCATTAGGATAGTATCTCTTGAATTATAGATTAACATATATAAAATATACGCTGTTCCTGATCTATTTAATATAAGTACATTCATTCATCGTACGTATAAAGTATTTATCATAGAACAACTCAGGTTTTGACAGGTTCTGATATAGGGTTCACGGAATGTGACAATTTTCAGAACAGGTTTGAAATATCAAAATAAATACAATGTCATACTTCTATATAGCTATATCAAAAAAATGTAGTTTTGTTTCATTTGATATGGGCTCGCTAACCAGCCAGAGGGTCTTTGGTTCGCTCCTGACGTTGGTCGGCGCGGTTTCCCCTGGAGGGCTGGCAAGGAACAGCGTCTAGTCGTTCGGATAGAACAAAAAACCGGGTCACATACATGTCTCCCGCTAACCACGTACACCTGAATACAAAAAACATTCCTTTCAGAGAGTTACATAGTAATTATCTGGTAATTAGATGTTTATATAATACAGGGGCCTGTTTCACGAAATTTTAACTAAGATAAAATCCAAATTTTAGTCATTTGATTGGATAATATTAGGCGGATTGTAGTGCTTAGCCAATCAAAATTGAAGTATCTACTAAAATTTGGATTTTATCTTTAGTTAAAATTTCGTGAAACAGGGGCCTGTTTCACAAAATTTTAACTAAGGATAAAATCCAAATTTTAGTAATTTGATTGGATAATATTAGATTGATTTTAGTCCTTAGCCAATCAAAATTGAAGTATCAACTAAAATTTTGATTTTAGCTTTAAATAAGATTTCATTAAACAGGGCCCTGGACCCTGGTTTATAAAGCATTGACTTTTTCTGTACAGAAGAGGCAACACTGTCAGAGTCGACGCTATGTCAGAGGCGACACTATGCTATCTCAATTACAGATTTAAAAAATCAAACTAAACATATTTCATATCGTAGAATTTCACGTTAATATTATGCCCGTTTTTAACAATAATGGGGTAGTATTATGTGGTGGTATTTGGTAGTATTGGGCAATTCGTCCTGACCGTCATTTTGCAATGATACTAACGAAAGTGATGGATTTACCAGTATAAGAAACTTTTCCCTACATTTCTAGTGCAGGTGACATAAATCACATATATAAGTCAAGGTAAACTTGAGAGAGAAGCATACTGTCCCCAAAATGCCACATACTATAGGCTTACTTTATTATATTATTATCTGAGATCTCAACAATTATTCTGAGAGAATCAACCAAAACAGTCTTTATGGGTGAATAGTTTTAAGAAATATATCCGTGATCCGTATAAAGAGGGGGTATGACGATGCAATATTTTGTAATGTGAGAAATAGGATATTGGTATTATACAAATTTTGCACGACTCGCTGTTTCCTTAATTTAAAGAAATCCTTTGAAAACATCTTTTAAAAGGTTCCAATATCTAAGGTTTATACACAGGACATAGTTACCGAAATATATCCGTGATCCGTATAAAGAGGGGGTATGACGATGCAATATTTTGTAATGTGAGAAATAGGATATTGGTATTATACAAATTTTGAACGACTCGCTGTTTCCTTAATTTAAAGAAATCCTTTGAAAACATCTTTTAAAAGGTTCCAATATCTAAGGTTTATACACAGGACATAGTTACCGGTAAAGTGAGTAAGACATCGGCTCGCTAACCATGTCAGTGATGCAGGACAGAGGGCCTGACAAGTGACAACGTATGGTCGCTCGGACAGGATGAAAACCGAGCTCGCGTGTACAAATTGGCGTGCACGTAAAATTTCCCTGGACAGTTGGAATTCGATATAAGGGTAGGTCTTGGCGCTGCTGTCCGGGGAAAATTTCCCTCATAGCACACTGCATGGCGTATGCCCGTCTTCATTAGCCCAGTCGTAGCAGAACAGTAGGACGTTAAAGCCAAATTCATTTCATTTATTTCGGGGCGACGCTCCAGCTAGGATTGTCTAGTCAGCAATAAACATTAATTGTATTCCACTGATTTGTACCATGCATATATTCTCAGTTCAATTACTAAATGACATTGAAAGAATCAATGTTTATATGTACAATCTAATGTTTATTATGTCATTAAAGGCTCAATACCACTTTTGTTGTAACTGAATAATATGTCCCAATCTTTATTCTGGTCAACAAATTGTACTATTTTAGAATATTTCAATTAATTGATGATACAAATTTCATCTTAACACACCTTATTTAAAAATTTTGAAAAATTCAAAATAATGGTTTGAAACGTCTAACGTAAACCTTTTCAAATGAAACTTCGATTTAAAAATATTTTCGAACCCTCTGGACAAGTAAAATAGGATGTAATGGATAATTTACACAACAGGTAGGACACTTAAACATCTAGTACTTAGATAGAGATATTATTTATTTTCTGGAGCTTTCAAGCCAGCAAGAGTGTTATTGTCCCTTTAAGATACTATTTTTGAAATACCAATGTAATATACCTGAACGCTTATTGTATTCATTTTATATTCACAAATATGATTTATTTTATAAATAATATAACAAAAGGTTGTACTTGTAGATGAAAACGGAAGGAATGGAGTTTAACATCTTGTCGCCATAATACTCCGATCATTTTGAAACTGACATACATTCGATCGTTTTCTGTGTGAAATGTTTCGTCGAATTACACCTGCCAAAGGCTCTTTTACGCCCACTATACGTGAACACGGGTGGACCATGGGTTTTTGTGCCATCCGAACGATTGGGCAACCCGATTGTGACTAGTGGGAAGCGGTTGTGATGTTGTAGAAGAAATTAAAATCATTGTTTCTCATTTTTATCTGAGATTGTAGAAAGTTTTTCCAGTGATGAGCAACAATATAGAAAAGGTATTTCGGATATCCCCACTTTAAATATAACGTTAGATAACATATAGACGGATGTAAAAATATCGATACATCAAATAACTCGCTTAGATTCATTTCTATATTACAGAAGACATTAAAAATCTCACTTGACAAAGGACAACGGTGTAGTATATAAACGTGTGTATTGGAGTGTATATATATATTACTAAGATTGTATGTAATCACCAAGGTGTAAAACTATTTAAACAGAAGCCGACCGTCTATTTAACACACCTGTGTTGACGCACAAACTTTTCTCGCTGGTTGAAATAATTAAAGCAATCAATAAGTGCACACGATTGAGAGATTGTCTATCAATTGTGGTTCAAGCTGACACGACAGGGCAGTGCGGCTCTCCGAGTCCAGTAATAAAACCAATAAACGAGCAAGCCCATCGTTAAATTCTCTAATGGTCATTTGCGGACAGGTAACTATAAATCTATGTCGCTTTAACAGAGAAGAGAACATTAGCTAGTGACGTGAAAGGCCGACATTCCATCGTTTGTTATCATATGAATGAAGGGACATGTCCCGTTTGCAATCAAGCACAACGAGAGTTCTCGTTTTACCTGTCGGCTGTGGTGAGAGGTATTCACAATGCTACAGTTAGTCGTACGAGGGTTTTAGCAGTTGAGAAGATCAGTTTACTGTTATAAAACGTGGGCAGTTATACAGTCCACATATCCTGACATTCAAATAGTGATTACAAGTTATGACATATTACTTATATACAGGATCTAACTGATTGGTCTATTGTGGTTACGTGGGATCAAGATTCACAGGTGTAAGGCTAATAGCAAAGGATTAAAAGGTTGGCCTAGAATACCCGTACGAGATTCTTGGCCACAAGGACTAATGATTCAGAAGTTGGTTGATTATAGCGGGGCGGTGGCCGCTAGATTTTAATTACTCATTCTGTGACTACGATCTACCTGAAATTCAAAATGTATCTACATATTATAAGTTTGTGTTTGTTGTTTGGGGTGTGTTATGCCCAGGAATGTAATGTCGCTGTCGTTGCTGTTGCCAGTGTTTTTGGAACTTTAGCAGTGGTGCTCCTAATTCTTGGAGTATTGGGATTTTTGTTGTGGAAGAAACGTCAAGGTAAGTTTAATTAATGCCCACAATTAAACCAATCATCTCAGAGAAAAAAAATGTCTAGTTTTCCGAAATGTATACAAGCTTTACAGTTTTAACAGGAGAGCTTCTATACATTTAACGGTTAAACACGATTTTTATAATGTGTTATTTATTATTAACAAGTAAAAAGTAAACTTGGGTCGACAGTGATTTTCCAATACACAATACATAATTAAAAAGAATACACATGGTATAATACACATTGAGCCAAAATAAACATTTTGTATATATTTAATACACATTATCAGACTAGTACAAAGCACACAGTAAATAAACATTGTGTTTTTTAAAGATGTAAAATGAAATGCAGAGAACCCATGTTATTCCTTTGAGAAATTAAAACATAGATCCTGTCAGTGTTTATAGATACATTTTGTCGCCTATATTATAACTAATATAGCAGCTAAATACAGAATTATTTTATATTGGGTTTTCGGGTAAATAAACTATGGATTGATATACCATACTTTTTAAACCATTGAAATGATATATTATTTATTAAAATATGCTGTTTTATTGCTTTGATAACTGAACCTGTTATTAGTATTATAGTATTGTAAATACCGTATATGAATGTAATATGAAAATAAATCAATATTTAATAGTATATGGAAGTATATACTCAAGGGTACTACAGATTACACAGTTTTTAAACTGTTTTATGATGACAACAGCCGATTCTTGGTTCACATCATAGAATCAATTAATGTAGAGTATCTATTGTTTTGGTTTGGATTAATCAGGATGTTTTAACAGTTTTGATAATGCTAATTAAAAGGATCTTAATTTAGTTGTAATAACCTGGAAATGAAACGAAAAAAAAGGAAGTTTAACGTCCTACTTGAAAAATCTTAATTAAGGAACTTTTTCGACCAACACCGGGATCGAACCTGGCATGACCAGGTTAGTGAAAAGCATCGTACTCACTAAGCTACTGTTGGGATCGAACCTGGCATGACCAGGTTAGTGAAAAGTATCATACTCACTAAGCTACTGTTGGTGTTGCTCCTAACTGCCCTGCCAAATTAGACTGGGCAGTATATGGTACATATAACAAAGTTATTAAACAAAGAATAATAAACTGAACATCCAAATAGATGTTTCCTGGAATTATAAACTATTCTAAACTAATCTGCTTCTGTAATTTTTGTTCTCTCAATATAAAGTTATTTCCTAATTTTCTACCATCCTAAAACCTATTTTAAAGTAGCTGTAAATCAGTATCATCCACAGTCTTCAACACTGCAAACACAATTCTGCATATTTCGCCGAACATAACTGATTAACAATTACAGTAAAAACAGGAACGATTGAACATAAATCAGTTTATATACATTCATATTACATTATTATGTGCATTGCAATCCATTTGTGTCCATTTCTAGGTGCCAAAGAATAGTGATTTAGCTCCTTTAATCTTAACTACAACTTCAGTTTTATATAGTTTTGAATAGAATGTAGTCTAGGCAAATATTTTATAAATGTTGAATGAAGGCTACTTGCTTAACAAAGCTGTATTTGCAAAATACATCTAAATGAACTTGAAAATAAAAAGAGGAAGCCCTCGTCATTTTTTTCTGCTGATTTATGTAAATATTTGTATATTATGTGGTTAGGTATGTCTTGTATATAAACTGATTGCATGAACTCAAGGGACAACCATACCATACCTTAGATAGCATCATGTAAACATACCTGACCGAAATAAAGACTCGGTATATATTGATTGAGTTAAAAATTCTGGTAGGGCAAGTTTTTTTTTAGTTGATATAATTCGGTCAACTCAAATTAAAAATAGACATGAATTAGATGTTTAGGTCAAATATAGAGTTGCATGTTAATTAAAATCTCTTCTAGCGTAGTAGATATGTAGTGTATTTTATGTCTGCCTCGAAGGTAAATATTTTAAATTTTGGACTAAATGAAGATATCTATGTCTGCCACTGTATATTAATAGTTTGTTTAATTATACATTTATGCTTATTTATGCGGGGACGACAATACGAATTCATGGGTGAATTTAAGAAGTATGGAAACTTACAGGAGTTTGATTTATTTTTTTGTAGAGACTAAAATATCATTTTATTAGTGGATATTTGTTTTTTGAAATATGACAGTATTAATTGCAAGAAATGCAAGAAAAGATTAGAGCTACAGTAAAAGGTCTGAAAATGTGTGACTCTTAAGCATGTATGGGGGCTCCCATGAAACACAGCAGGGGTGGATCCAGGAAAATTTGCAGGAGGGTGTTTGCCAGGCTCAATTTAACAGTTGAAAATGCATGATACCATCATCGTTTCCAAATTATGTAAGCATACATACACACTGAGCTTTTTAAAGAGAGTAATCCAACACTCCGCTTAACCTCAATTTTTATTATGAATTAATAGGATGACATTTTGAATCAATTTCTTTGATGCAAAGCATTAATTGTGATATCACATAATCTATATCATTACCTCACACGTCCCATCCCACCATCTGATGGTAAAGGATAAAGTACAAGACTGTGACACTTTTCTTCTTCATTAGCCCAGTCGGAGCTGAACGGTAGGATGTTAAACCCCATTTCATTATACTTTTCTCATAAAGTGTTGTTTTATAAATTTTCTTTTATGTAGCTGAGCGGGGGGGGGGGGGGGGACCCCCAAACCCCCACTCTGGATCCGCCCCTGCACAGACCTCTGTATAAATGGGATTGGTTGGGAGTGGATGGTGGGCGTGTGTCGACAAAATGTTCTTTTATTTAGAAATGTCAATGGAAATGTCACATTGTACAGGAATACTTATTGGCAGTCTGTAACGAAATAAATGACTAACCTCCAAACTAGTCAGGATTCAGACCAGTAAACAATAAAATATGGATAGAAACTCAGCCACTCCTACAATATATGTTTATGACACACATGAAACTAGAAGTGACAGTGAAATAGTTCAATCAATACATGACTTGAATCAGGTCATGTTAAAATAAAGTAATATATTTATTTAATAACATATTCAATATTAATAATTATGTATGTAAATAAAGTATTTATATCTATGGGATTAATACATACTAAATATGGTAATATAGTTACAGCTGTCAACAACTAATTTATTTATTTATTTAAAACATGTACAGGTATATATTGGCTTGTCAGGGTAACATTTAAGATCATAAATTTCAAGGGTATATTAACTTCAAAAACACTAAACTACTGAAAAATATGTGTAGTATCATTCCTATCCAAGGGGTACTATTTCAAGAAATTACATTTGTCTCAAAATTACCATTTCAGTGTTGACATTAATTTTGAACTTTAAATTCCATTCATGTAATTCCTTATATTTTAATATGGTACTTGAACTTTAATTCTTCGTAATATTGTACCTGGAAAGTTTACTTCAGTTACCTGAAATGACAGGTTTATGTATGGTGACTAGGCAAAATATGTCATTGACCTTTATACGATCAAAATAACTCAGCGAAGAGAAGTATATAACTTACATAGAAGTTTATGTGTCAATAAATTTCATTCATTATGTAGTAAAAGTTTTATAAAGGTCTTCTTTTATTATGGAATATATTAATAGTCAAAAGTTTCATAACTGCTACCTAAACGTGCAATACTGTTTATTTATACATAAAGGAAACATGAATTATATAGATAGATACCCATCAACAATTGGTATTCTGTTCAAGGGACATTAAAACTTCAGAGATCTTTTTCGGCTGGTAGAAAAATAATGACTATATATACAGTTATATAAAATGAATGAAATGATATGGGGTTTAATGTCCTACTGTTTTGCTCCAACTGGGCTTATGAAGATGGGCATACACCATAGAAGTATGCGATGAGGATTCTTTTCTACATGCACGCCATCCGAATGACTATACGTTGCCTTCTGCCAGGCCCTCTGTCCTGCACCACTGACAAGGAGAAATAGCGGCAGAAAATCTTGATGAACTTTCTCGGCCAACACTTGGATCGACTCAGGAATTCCAGGTTAGCAAGACAACATCTTACTCACTGAGCCAATGCAGCTCCCAGTTATATCAAGGGTGTTTAAATTAGATTGTATGGACAATTTGAGACAGATTTGCCTGTTCATCTCAAAGATATAATAATTTTAAGATCCCATACATGTGTGAGCCCTCAAAAGGTCAGAGAACATCCGTGAACAATTTTGTTTATATAATTATAAAGTAGTCAAGATTTTTGGATTTTCAGTAATTATTTATTTCCTTGTTCTAATGTGTCTTTAAATCGGTTTAAAGATGCATTATTTAAGATTTAGATAAAGAGCTGACAGTTCTAACTATAATAGTTTAAAGATAGATAAAGATACATGTATATTGAAAATTTCAGTCAAATTATTTTCATTGCTACCGTTGTTACGATAATACTAAAGTCTCAATTATTCATTTTAAAATTAAATTATTAAATGGCGATAGTGTTTCAAGGCTCAAGCCATTCAAAAACACAACCATTCGATGGTCTAGAGAGTTGATTATAGGCTAGTCATGTGAATAAATGTCTAATTGATAGTTTATATGACACATGTATTTGAGGCCAAAAGAAAGATCTGCGATTGGCAGATTTAGCTCTTACATAATGTACCTTTAACTACTATGTAATTGTCTAATGTAATGACACTAAATAATAGGCTAGTTTCCCATTAATTAACACTACATATGTATATTTTTAAAAATATTATGATGTATAGTCATAGCGCAATATAATATTTCAAATATCACGGCAACATGCAAATACATTGTTTAGAGAAAAAAAAACATAATTAAAACAGAAAAACACAAGAAAAACAACAACAACAATTACCTATTTATATCTCTGTTTTTAAAGACATAGAACATGTACATAGCAACGGTTTGGGACAATTCTTGGGGATGTATCCAGTATGATGTGAAATTCAAGAAATGGAGAGATAGATACGTACTGCCATCATGGATTTTCGGT